AGGTGGGCCCGGCAGAGACAGGAGGGATGACCAGCAGGGACGGGCCAGCAGCAGGGAGGGAGAGAGGGCGTCCCGCCTGAGAACAAGCCACGGCAGCTGGGCCTGAGGGGTGATAGGGCACAGGGACACCTGCCCCTTTTTGTCCCTCTAATTGCCGTCTTTATTTAATGAGTTCCCATCGCCTTTTTCTCTGGTCCTGCCGATGGAGCTTGGGACGCTCCACCTCTGAGCCCATCTAAGGGGGGACGGGGTGCCGGGGAGGGAACTCAGGGGCACTGACCACTGAGCCACACCCCAGCCCTATTTTGCATTTAGGGACAGGGTCTCCCTGAGCTGCTCGGCGCCTTGCTGTCACTGAGGCTGGCTTTGCACTTGTGACCCTCCTGCTGTAGTCTGGCGGCACTTTTATCGTGAAGTGTTAAAAAGGAAGGAAACAAAGCTGCTTCAAAGCTCTTCAGGGGTTCATGAGAACGTGGCCCTGGGCGCGGAGCCACACCCGTCCCTGCCGTCTCCCAGAGCCACAGCCAGGAGCGTAGGCGCCCGTTCCCATCACCGCTGCAGCCACTCAGGCACCAAGGCCTTCCCCTGGGTCCCCCTGAGCACCACCAAGACACAGAGGACACAGACCCGGGGGCAGGCCATGGTCCCCAGGCTGGCTCATCAGGATGATGTCCCCAGCGGCTCTGTGTGCACACCTGCTCCCAGCCCTCTCTCCAGAGCCCCGCCCCTTCAGGTGACAGAGGGTCTGAGGTCCCACACCGGCCCCTGCCTCGCCCACGCTCTCCCATCTCCTCTGGCAGGTCCCTCGCCCCGGAGCCCTGTCTGAGACCTTCCAGGGAGAGCAGAGGTGGTCCGGCAGCCCCTGGGCCCCAGGCTCCTCCTGGGCCACCCTGAGCCCCATTCCCGGGCAGATGGAGTCAGGGCCTCCGGCTGCTCCCTGGGAAGTGGCCTCCTTCCCTCCACCCAGCCTCCTCTTCAGCCTCATTTTATAGATGAAAAAGTTGAGGCCCAGAGAGGGCAATGGTGGGCTCAGGGCCACCCAGGACGAGGGGCAGAGCAAGGGGCAGAGCCAGGGCCATCTCCCTGCACCCACCCCCCTTAGAGGGACCATCCCTGGACAGAGGCAGGGATTCCAGGGCTCAGAACCCACAGAGTGATGGCTGAGGAGAGTCTTGGGAGCACCCAGGAGTGCCGGTCACCAGGGACCGTCCCCGGTCCCTGGCAAGCCCCATGGTGCTTCAGAATCCAGAGGATGATTCTCTCTGGGACCCGAAGTTGCTTTCCGGGCTCGGGACCCTCAACCACCTCCTGCCCCTTATGAGAACTACTCTCCACCGTGACCTCTCAGTGCTGGCAGGGGGACAAAGCCACAGCCCGGGGTCTGGCGCTCAGGAATGGGCTGAGAGTCCTTCGGTTTAATACACGCCACCCACACAGCTGACCTCATAAATCTCATTAGATCCTGCCGCATCCACTGGCCCGCGGGCTCTGGAACTCTATCCGCTCCCAGCGCGGCAGGTGGAATAGTGTGAACCAAGAAATGTCCCCCGCAGAGCCAACAGCTGCAGGCCCGTCTCCTGGCAGACGGCAGCCAAGGCATCGCTGACCCACACACCCTGGCTGCTGCCCAACCACTGGGAGGCCAGAGCAGCCTTTGGGCTTTGGTTGGGGGCAGACAGACAGGTTTTTGGTGCACTGTGACCTTGGGTAAGAGACTTGGCTTCTCTAAACTTCAGGTTTTTACAATGGGACAGTGGGATCTGTTTTAGTAACATATGTCACTGGAACATACGTGCAGTGTCCAGCTGAAGGCCAGGCCCAGTGTTAGGACCAACGGAAGAGGGGCGGCAGGTCAGTGTGGGGTGGGAATCCTCCATCTACCCAAGAACCTCAGCCCCGTTCAGAATAAGAAACCGGAGCCTGGGGGGAATTCTGCGCCCTGTGCTGCCCGACGGCTCTCACGAGGGGCAGGAGGCAGCTGGGGGTCTCAAGCCCAGAACAGCAACGTTGGGTCCCAGAGAGAATCATCCTCTGGATTCTGAAGCACCTTGGAGCTTACTGGGGACCAGGGACCGTCCCTGGTGACCAGCACTGCTGGGTGCTCCCAAGACCCACCTCAGCCACCACGTTGTGGGTTCTGAGCGCTGGAATCCCCCACTTGTGTCCAGGGATGGACCCCCTCCCATGGTCTCACCTTCCACCACACCCCTAAGCTTGAGGGCACCACATGACCCAGGCCTGGGGCCCCCTCACGCTCCACAGTGGCTGGCTCAGGGCTGATGGGGGACCAGCCCAGCTGCCCCCCCCACCAGTGAAACATACCCCTGGGGCTTTGGATCAGGATTTCACAGCCCTCCCCCCACAGGACTCCGACCTGAACATTACAGCCAGCCAGGGACAGTCCTTGTCCAGCCCACACGAACCAAGAGGAGGAAGTGGCCAAGCAGGACAAGGCGTGCCAGGAACACAGACAACAGGCATCTTTATGGCTGTGGTTGGGTTCTGGATCAAGCCATACCTGAACCTTCAAGGGCTTTTCAGTTCCGTGATTAATAAAGCTCCACTTTTTTTTTTTTTTTTTGACCGATAGGCTCGTGATTTGGCGATTAAAGCTCTTGCACAATTAGCCAAACTAGCAAAATGAAATCTGCTTGAATACGCAAAAAATTGAGAGCAAAACTGGATGATGTTTTAATGTGTTCTATCAGCCTGTAGGATACTCCTATCCTACTTCAAGTATCGCGGGTAAAAGACACTTCAGAATTCAATCTCACTTCTCCACCTACTTTCTAGCTCTGTGACCTTGGACAAGCCACCAAAACTCTCTGAGACTCTGTTTCTTCAAACCTTTGGGAATAGGTAGGATGAAATGAGATCATGTTCATAAAGCACTAGATACACATTAGGAGCTCAATAAAGGTGCCCCCTCAATTCAGGCGATGCCATCTGCATTTATGTAATTATAGGGGCATGAGGAGACCTATGAGGACAGAGAAAAAGGACACCCTGGTTCCCAAGGATCTACTCATGACGGACGCTGTCCCCAGTTTTTATAGCTCTTACCAAAGAAGCAGGGTAGGGTAGGAGAAAGGAGAAACCACTTTGAAATCAAAGAAACCTGCGGATGTGCCCTATCTCTGCTCCGTGATCTTAGGCAAATTGCCTAACCTCTCTGAGCCTTATCATTTCATTAATAAAATGGGAAAGCTATTGTTTACCTTTTGAAAGGATATTAGGTTGTGAAGCTATGTACACTGTTCCCACCCAGCACAGTGTTCAACAAATAACTGTGACCATCTGTCCAGGCTCAAGCTAGGGGTCCTTCCCAAAGGACAGTCTGAAAGCCTCTGCTGAGTTCCCACCTTCCTGAGCTCAGCCAGGCCACACCTTCAACTCCTAAAGCCCCGTGCCCAGCCCTGGCCTCTCTCCAGAGCAGCCCTCTAGGCCTCTGCACCAGAATATCTTCCAGGCGCCACAGTCACAGCCCCAGGTCTGGGCTTCTCCCTGCTCTGTGATTTGGGTCAGTCCCCTTGGGCTTGGTCTGCAGTTGTGGCTGGTTGTGGCTGATCTTGGGGTGTGCGCGTGGGATCCTGAGCTTCTCAACTCCTGCACGTCTCTGCCCGTGCACTGGGCACCGCTTTCTCCCTGTACCAGTTCAGACACGGCACCTCCCTTCTGCAAAGAGCCCAGGCTTGGTAACTTAGAGTCACCTAGGATTGTCCCCATAGTTCCTCCCACAGCGCCCAAGTCTGGAAGATTCTCCCTTGGAAGTACCACCTGATCTGTAGGCTCTGATGCCACCGTCAACCTGCCCAGTCTCCAGCCCCAGCGTCCCACTTCCAGTCCACCCTCCCAACTAGGAAGCCAGTGGTCAACAAGGGACAGTGGAGCCTCCCTCCCACATAGCCTCTGCCTGGAGGCTGGACCTCCTAGGCTGCTGTCAAAACTGGGCTCCAGCAGGGCACTGTGGTGCACACCTGATCCCAGTGACTCGGGAGGCTGAGGCAGGAGGATCTCAAGTTCAAAGCCAGCCTCAGCAACTTAGTAAGACCAGGTCTCAAAATAAAATATATTTTAAAAGGGGGCCTGGGTTTGTGGCCCAGTGAGTGGTTAAGGATACCTGGGTTCAAACCCTGGTACCAGAAAACAAACAAACAAACAAACTGGGTTTGGGCATCAACATGGGTGCTTTGGAGACTCCTTTCCCAGGGAGGAGGAGAGGAGCCGCTCCCGATGCTCATATTCATTCACGCTTCTCAAGCACACCTCCTGAGGACCGTCGCCTCAAGCCCAGGCAGACCCCGTAGAGACCCTCTGCATGTCGCCAGCACACTGGGCTTGGCTCCATGGAAGTGCATTTGCATGTGACATCTGGCATCCAGTTCCAGGGGTGCACACCCCCCCCAAGCATACAGAGCACAGCCTGCCCCCCTGTCAAGTGTATTTTACAGAGGAGGACTGAGACAACTGGAAGAAGGGCCCTGAGCAGGACAGGCGAACGGCCTCCCCCCGCCAGGCCGCGATCCTCCCAGGAAAGTGTGCTGTCCACTCCCAGCCCAGTCCTAGCTGTGAGCCGAGTGCTTGCTACATTCCCCACCTCGGCAAGGGCTTCGGGTGGAGCCGGAAGATGACCGCACGTGGGAAGCTGGCCCTGTCCCTGGCACACGGGATAATTCCCTTCCCTCCCTTCCTGGAAAGCTGCAGAGGGAGGAAGCGTGGCCGCCCCCAGAGTGGTCAGGGAAGGCTTCGTGGAGGAAGCCGGCCTGCCAGGCCTGCCCGCTGGTGCTGGGGACGCAGGGCCAGGTTATTAATAGGCCTGGCTCAGTGGGCCCAGGGAGGTGAATGTGATACAGACACCCAGTACCGGGGCTGGGGAGTACCTGACACCGGACGGGGAGGGGGCTGGGGCCGGGGGAGCGCCACCTCCCAAAATAGCCAGGAGGGAGCCTATTTAAGTGGCCAGCCACCCCCAGGCTCACTCCCCGCAGGACTCCCACCAGCCCCGCTTTCAGTGCAGGCTCCTGCCGTCCACTCCCACTCGAGGTGAGTGGCAGCTGGGTGGGTCGTGACCCTGGGTGGCCGCGGAGTCCAGGACTAGAGTGAGTCCTGAGCGCTCCGCCCTGGCCCTAGGTGAGCCGGGCAATGCCTCCCCTTGGCCTGGTCGCAGGTCCCCATCTGTCCAACACGAGGGTGGAGCCAGACACCTGTGAACTCTCGTGATGCCACCAGAGGGGCAGGGGGGCAGGAGGAGGGGGCGTGGAGGCCCGGTGTCCACCAGGCCTGAGGGCCGTGGAGCGGAGGGAGACAGGAGGAAGGAGGGGAGGAGCCAGGCTGGGCCCCAGGTGCAGGACTTGGGGACCCTCAGGAGCCAGGGTGTGGTTTGGACACATGGGACTCCTCTGGCCCTGGGCACTAGGGAGGAACACTGGGGGGTGGTGGTCACTGAACTCCAGGGGAGGGGACCCCGGGGTGGTCCTCTCACTTAGGCTCATCACAGACCCTCTCTAGCCTCCGTTCCCCCATCTCTACTGCAGGAGGGTCCTTGGCCAGGAAACCGGATTCTCCCACCAGGCCCTTGAGCAGCTCCTGGGAGTTGAAATGAAAACAGGCCCCCAGCTGGGGCAAGGGGCAGGGCGGGCAGCAGGGCAGCAGGGCCAGGGCAGCCGAGGGCCCCGGAGGCCTCACGCCCAGGGGTATGTGGCCAGGACTTCAGCCTGGGTCCTGGGACGCCAGCTGGCTGTGGGCTGAAGGAGCTGACTCCCCGGGAGGGGGCAGCTGGAGCCAGCCACTCCTAAGGCTTCCAGGAAGGGCACCAGCCGGGCCTGAGCCGGAGACGGTGTGGACAGTGAGTGTCAGGGAACTTGAGCGACTGGGCAGCTGGGCTGCTGTCCCTGGTCCCCACACCAAGGGCCACCACAGTCCCAGCCCTTGCCCACCTGCCTAAGTTGGAGTCTCAAGGTCCCACTAACAGGGACAGGGGTGGGGACCACCAGCCCTTCCAACACAACAGAGGGAGACACAAGCCTAGAGATGAAGGTCCCTTCCCAAGGTCACACGGGGACTCAGTGCAGCCCCAGATCAAGGTCCAGGCCCCCACTCCCTGTCCAGGGCTCACCCTCGAGAGGCAGCTGCTGCAGGCAGGGTGTGTGGGGGACCTCAGGCAGGTGCTGCTGGCACTTGCCTCATTCCCAGAGGGGCTTTAAGACCACGAAGCTCGCTGGGTGGCCAGGAAGTGTGGTCTGAAGGTGTCACCTCTCCCCCAGGTGAACACCAGCCTCCCCGGAGCTTGCATGGACATTCCAGGTAGGCTCCATGCCCCCAGCTCCCCATAGAGGTTTGTGGGGCAAGGGGCATCTGGACCCCAGATTCCTGGACAGGGGAGACCAGGAGAGTAGTTGATGGAGCTCCAGGAGCGGCTTTGTGAAAAGTCAGGCTAGGCAGGAAAAAAAAAAAGAAAAAGCCCCGATAAGATGTGCATCCCTCGTCAGATGTGGGACGCAGCTCCAGCTGAGAGCTTGGGCAGCACTCATCTGTCCCTGTCCTCACCACCCCTTCCTTGGTCTGTGGGTCAGGTTTCCTAGCCTCCGTGCTCAGCTTTTGCAGCAAAAATTTGCATCTAGGACAGACAAGAGGTTTGCATCGCGGTGGAGAGAGAATGGGTGCCGAGCCGAGGGGTCCACGGGATAGAGGCTGGACCCTGCGTGTCCAATTATCTTTCCCTAAATGGGATGTCCTTCGAGGTGCCCAGATTCGAGCGGTGCCTCCTGCGTGCCCTTGACAGGCAGGCGAACTCTCCAGACCCGGCTGATGGCGCGGGCGCCCCCTGAATTCCCGAGGGCGTGCTTCCCGGGGCGACCTGGCCGCAGACCCCGGGATCTGAGGCGGTCGGGGCGGCGGCGCAGCAGGACTGAGCGGCTCCGGCTGCGCGCAGAGCCCGGGGCCCCCTGGCGCGGTGCCAGGCCAGGCGGGCGTGCGCGGGGCGTGCGGCACTGCAGCGCCGGTCATATGAGCAGGAATGATGAGAAAAGCACTTCTTAATCTTTTCGCACTTGCTCTGCCCGCTCAAACAGTTGCAGGATGTCGATGACAGACTTGCTCAGCGCTGAGGACATCAAGAAGGCGATCGGAGCCTTTGCTGGTGAGAGCGCGCTCCCTCCCCATCCTCTCCTTCCATCCGTCACCTGCGCCCTGCGCCCCGCGGCCGGCAGCCGGCCAGTCCCCTGCAGCCTCTGTCCACGCGTCCGCAGGGGTCGGGACCGGGTGGTCCTCCGCATTTCCCAAACGCCGCGGGCCAGAGGGGACTTGGGGCGGGCTGCGCGGCGGGGAGGCGGGCTGCCCGAGAGCAGCGAAACTTAGGGGCGCAAAAGGGCCTACCCGGGACCAAGGGCAAAGACCAGGGTCGAAGGAGGGACCTTGGGAGTTCTTTCGCGCTCTGGGGTTTCCTTTTCAAGGCTGGTGGAGGGAACGCAGGCGTGCCTCTCTCTAAGGGACCCTTTTCTGGACAAGACTTTTCCCTGAAAGAAGGTGACCCATTGTTGAACTACAAGAATGTCCCAGCTCCCTCCCTGGGCTTCAAAGTCCCCTCCCTGGGTCGGTCTAGTCTCACCGGGCACTGCCATCTTTCGGTGGCGGATGCTGCAGCGGTGCCCAGGGCGTCCTCCCCGGCCCATCGCCCCCTACCCCCCACCTCCACCAGTGCTTCCAGTGGGTTCGAGGCTCAGGGAAGGGCAGCCCCCCCTCCCTCTCAGACTGCCAGGGATCTAGTGCATGACCACCGCTGACCTTCCCACTCCCCTGTCACCACATGGGGAAACCTGGAAACCTCAGCTAGGAGAGGACCGGAGACTGGGCCAAGGTCATCTAGCCAGGCAGAAGAGGAATGAGAACTGGGGTGGCCTCCAGAACTTGGTCCCCTACCTTAGAGTGAGGGTTACAGGGCCACGTCCCCTCCTGCCAGCTCCGGACAGAGAGAGAAGCTGGCACCCCCCCACACACACACAAATAATAAGGTACATCACCCCCACTGTACCCCCCCTTCCAGGGGTACTAAAAAAGGAGCTCAAGACAAAATGCAGGGGGCCTAGCAGAGAATCCTGTGTCCTTTCTGCTTGGCACCTTCTCCCCTGGACACAGGAAGCTCTGGGGAGTCACCCTCCTGGGGCATTATGAGAACCACCTATGTAGCCTTGAGCCACCTTGTCATCTCTAGGAAGAAGCTGAACTGGGCTTTTGTCACACACAC